TTCCCGGTAATTGCGGGCAAATTCACACGGAACAAGTCAGAATTGCATTCAGTGGTAGTTTCATTACAACGTTGTGGAATCAGTGTACTTGGGAAAAAAAGTCTGAAATTTTAGTGTGGCCTAACAAAAAAGGCTAAAAGATCAGTCCCACAAAAATCCCAACACTGATTTTTCAGTGTAGGTAAAAAAACGACTGCCAAAATCAGGAATTTCAGGGTTTCTTTCCTGATATCTGAGGCCCTGCTTGTCTGATGTTTCAGAGTTTTTTTAACATACTTGTCTGTAAATTCAGACTATTTTTAGTAGTGTAGGCTGTGCCTCAGACTTGTATCGGGGTGCATTCTGAATCCGATAATACAGGGGCAGGGTCCAGCCTGGCGGCGTGGAGCAGTAACCCCGTCAATCACGGGCGGGAACCCACGATTTCGCCAGCGCGACAACGCACAGTTGCGTTGGTACAGCGTTGCTGTAATCCCACCCAATTCTGACCAATCGCGGCTGCGCCGCAGGCAGTGTTGGCAAGATTCCTTGCCAACACATAGCTCGCCACGCACTGCACCTTCATTGTACACCACGACCATCCACCACACCCCGCCTTCAATGTTGCCAGCGCATAGCTCGCAGCACGCTGCCACTCTCACGTCACCACGTCCATCCACCCCACCCCACCTTCCCAGTTGCCAACGCAGGGCTCGCACCGCGTTGCTTCTCTCACGTGACTCCATCCATCAACCCCAATCACCCCACCTTCCAAGGATTCACGCCCAGGTGCAGTGCATGCAATGACCTTCTGGGAGATGGGAGGTCCTATTACACGAGGGTTTCTCATCTTCTTCTTGGTCACCGTTCTTGCAGTCTCTCTCATGGCCCGCTCCATTTGCCTGGACTCAAACTAGTGTAGGAGCCCTTGTTTCAGGCTCCCACCTCCTAGCTCGCTACACCTCTGCTCGGCAGGCTCAATGGCAGTTACAGAGGCTGTCGCGGATGGGCGCGACGACGAGGATGATGCAGTCGGTCGCCCAGTATCCGGCCCAGTATCCGACCCTCTCATCGGTCTAGATTTTCTTAGGTCTGTCTTACCGAAGCACAATCCACCTCCAACGCCACCGTCGCAACCTAGCTCGAGCCGCCCACCTATTCCCAGAGACACCACACCTCTGCACGAGGCCGTCACTGAACCAGCGACCGCTGCGCAACAGGCGGTGCCCCATGAGGCGTCTGTTGGTGCACCTTCTCGTCCCGCGCCAGCGTCGAAGCTGCGGTACCGGCAGTCCACCCTTGGTTGGGCCACTCCGCCTCCTCCATCGACCGTTGTGACTCTTGCGGGCGACGATTCTCCCATGCAGGACAACTCCATGCCCACGCAGGGCAGCCCGAGGCCCACGCAGGACAGCTCAAAGCCCAAATCCGATAATCCTGAGTTGAAATACGAGGAAGCGCATGAGAGATTCAAATCGAAGTGGTCCACCGGTTACAGTTGGCTTGTTCTAACTAAGACCTCTTCTGGTGCCCCTTCTTTCAAGTGCAGTATTTGCCTGGAGTTTGCGGGATTGAAATGCAAGTGTGGGCGGCGTACCGAGGGAGCTACAGACGTGCAGACACAGTCCTTCAAGAAGCACGAAGGGACGGTGAAGCACCGATTTGCTCTGCAGCGCCAGGAGGATTTGCTGCAGAAGTACGGGCGGCAGCAGCGCATCGACATGCACCCGAAAGCGCAAGACATGGAGCTGCTGCAGGTGTCGTCGCTCGTCGACGCGCTGTACTTCATGGGGAAGTGCAACGAGCCCATGGACTCGTGGATCCGGCTCGTGCGCTACCTAGCGAAGAAGAAAGTGCCCGGGTTTCCCGAGTAGGGATACGGCACATACTATAACACGTACGTAAATTCTTATGTGTGTCCCGTGTGTACAACGTTGTATCCTTGCTGACCGTCACTAACGACCTTGTCTTCCTTCTGTAGGTACGGCTTTGGAGAGCTCACTCAAGCCATTGCGACATGGCTTCAGACAACGCAACTGGAGCACCTCCTCTCGAGCCCTTTCATCGGGATAACGCTCGATGAGAGCACCGACTGTCGGCGCGGCAAGCACATGATTGTGTTTGCCACGTTTCTCCGCGAAGGCCGAGTTGTCACTGAATTCGTCGCGCATTTAACGGTTGATAGGGCTGACGCTGCATCTTTGTGCAGTTTGTTGCTTTCCCACCTCAGGGCAGTCGGCGTTGACCTCCGGCGTATCTTGGGAGTGAGCACGGATGGCGCCTCTGTGATGGTGGGGAGTCAAAACGGTGTGGTTGCTCGTCTGCGAATGCTCATCCCCAACCTGGTCTCGTTTCACTGCATCGCTCACAGGTGCGTTTGTGTTTTAACGCCATGTGTAAACGGCAAATCTGTTTGTTTATGAAAAACTAACTGTGCATGTGTGGTTTTGTCTGGCAGGGAAGCCTTGGCTGCCAAGGCCGCAGCGGAGAAGATACCCACCTTCAACATGGTCGACGACGTGATCCGCGCGGTCGCAGAGTACCTCGGGCGATCGGGGCCGTGGCATCAGCGCTTCATGGAGCTCCAGGAGGTGTTCACGTCCACCATCCTCGAGGTCCAAGGCATACACGACGTGCGGTGGCTGTCCAGAGGAGCTGCAGTTGCCCGCTTCGTCCAAGTCCTACCTGCCATCATGGTCATGTTGTCGGAGTGGAAGGACCAGACCATGTACGAACTCGTCACGTCGTACAAGTTCCAATTCCTCATCAGGTTCCTCGCGGACATGCTGGAGCAGCTCAACGTCCTCTCCTCAGTTTTTCAGAAGCGAGAAGTAAGTGAATTTGAGGGTGTAGATTGTATTGGTTTAAGTCCGAGACCCATTGTACTAATTCTCTTTGTATGTTTGTGATGCAGCTCGACTACGCGCTGGTGCACACGCAGATTGTGCGCACCACATCGATCCTGGAGGCTCGGTACGTCGACTGTGGAGACGACTTCGGGGGGGGGGGGGGGGGGGGGGGCGACCGAGAGGCTCTACCGCTTCATTGAGAAGCACGGTCCGGGAGGGACACCTGAAATGGTGGTGGAAGGAGCATCGTCCGACGGCAGTATGAACCGCTTCAAGGTGAAGCTTCACGAACGCACAAACCCAAGCTATCGTGGGCCTGGTCATCACCACGCCTGCGTTGCGCTCTGCACCGACATGGCCGAGCTCGTTGTCGAGCAGCTCCAGTCCAAGCTTGGCGACCTTGACTCACTTTCCGGAGTGCGGCTGTTTATTCTAGAGATGTGGCAACCTCACTGGGACCGGGACGCACGGCATGCACAGTGCCTGGAGTGGCTGATGTCGCTTGTCACGTTGTTTCGCGCAGATGAAGCCGACGAGATACTACCTGGTATGGTTTTGTGTCACCCCGCCCCTTTCCCCCTTTGGCTATGGCTCGTTTACTAAACGCGTTTCTCGTTTTGCCTTGCAGGCATTGACAAGAAAAAAGTCGTGAGGGAGCTGCGCACACTGTGTCCGGTCCTTGCCAGAGCCCCCAAGAGCGAGCGCAAGTTCCACACGGGACTTTGTGCGATGCTCAGGACACCCGACTGGCAGCAGGCGTACCCCAACCTGGTCGGACTGTGGGTGGCGATTGCGGTGCTGCCTCTCAGCACGGTCGAGTGCGAGCGCGGTTTCTCCCGACAGAATCTCATCAAAACGTGGCAGAGGGGCAGCATTAAGGACTGTAGGCTGAGTGATCTGCTCTGTATTTCACTCCTAGACTATGAGCTAGATGTCCCAGGAGTAGTAGAGATATAGCGCAGCTACAAGAAGCGCCGGCCGGTCACAGCACCTGCTGCAAGGCACAGAGAGGAGCCCTCGTGGGCTGGGAAGGAGCCTGTAGACGAGGCAGTAGTAGAACGTGAACCTGTATTATACTATCAAGAAGAAATGTAAGAAGGTTACTTAGTGTTTTCATTATAAAAGGAAAATTGACTGACTCTGTATGTTCAGCGTAGAAATGCAAGTGTAGTCTGAAATCTCAGACTTCAAAAATCAGGTCACTCTGACAGCCAGACTAGGAAGAGCGGTGTACTCTGAGGCCTCAGACTACCTCAAAACGAATGTAGGGGCCTGGTTTTAAAGCACAAGATTGTTAGAGTATAGGCATGAATGGATGTTGAGTATTGAGAGAGTTGGTACAAAGGAAAAACCTAAGGGGTTGTACCCCACAGTGAGTACCCCACTAAGCCTACCCAAACTATAAAATATATATATATATATATATATATGTTTGACAAAGATTAAATTGAGAAGCTGTGAGGCAAAGTGAATGCAGGTGTTGGGTAGTAATGCTTGTTTCTTCTGAGGGGCTTTGAAGGACGAGACTGATTAGAGAAGCTGAGAGGAAAAGTGAATGCAGGTGTTGGGTTCTGTAATACGGTACAAGTGCTTCAATAATGAATGTACAGTAGTTGTATTTCACGAAAATGAACCATACCTCACAAATTGTCTGGGGATCCATCGTTCATTCCATCAAAAAACTTGAATTATTTGTAGGGGTAAAATATATCAACCTATCAGTTTGCAGAGTATCCTGCATATCAAGGTCAATAAATGAGCTACTAGTAATCCTGTGGATGCCCCTGTACAGGATTGGGCGACAGGTCCCGCTTCTTTCCCCAAGTATTTACACCTGACTCATCTGCCTTAGATGCTGAACAGTGAGGAGAGGCACGCTTCTTACCAACCACTGATGTATCTTCAGTGCTTGGTGTCTCTGAATCAGTTGACTCACAATCTCCAGCAGCCCTGGTATCCTGTACATGTAAGCTGAGGGCTTCATCAATGACCGAAGATGCTGGGGAAGAAGAGCGAGGATCACTCGAGACAACCGCTACTGGCACAACAGGACGGAATCCCGAGGTTTTCGAGAAAGTAGCAACTCGGTGCCGCATGTCTGCCAGTGCCGCCTCTAGAACCTGTTCGCGTACTGCCTTGGCGTCAGTTTCACTTGGATGCTCAGATTTCACTTCAACAAATGAGGTGCTGGAAATGGGTGCCAGAGACATTGGGGTGGAGGTTGAGAGTGCATAGGGATGGGGGGGAGAGATGCTTGTCCCTGCATGACTGTTGCTGCCAACTTGAGCATTGAAGACGGGGACAGGAGGGCGGGAATACCAGAGGCTGTTTGAACCGTGCCCCGAATGCGCCAGTGGTTGCTGCACAGTAGAACAGACGACGTCAATAAAAATTCGTGGGAATTCGCACAGCAGCCAAGGCTTGATGGCAAGAACTTACGCTTGCCTGTTGCAGAAGAGATATCGCATCATAATAGAGGCGTTGCATGCGCTTGAGTTCGCTCGAGAGAAAAGCGTTTTCCGACTGAAGACGCTCGACTTCGTCAGCAGCACAAACTTCCTTGATAGGCTCAGGTGCTTTTGACGGACCCTGGAGAACGACGAGAAACAGAGGGTACGACATGGCGGAGTTTCAGAACAAAGGACCGGGAAATAACATACGGGGCATATGAATGACAATGTTCAGCTGCAATGGTTGATACCGTTGATTAACAAACAAGTCTCGGCGTGAATGCCCACCTCCCAAACCCGAATGGAGATCATTACGTACAGCCTGCGTTATATGGTTGTTGGCGATTGGTACAAACGACTTCCGTCGTTGGATTTCACATAGCAGCCGAAACTCGCCCTTTTTGAAATAATCGTTTCCAAACTCCCATCTCGTCGGCGCAACCTTTCGAAATCCCTGGAAGAAGACCGAACGACGTCTGTGTAAGCACTCAATATATGCAGACAGCCTCGGCAAAAAACTGAGAATGCGAACGTACGTATGTATTTAACTGGCGAACGAAGCTCGAGAAGTTATTGTGCTTGAAGTAGTTCGGAAGCAGGTCTCGTGCAAATTCCATCGGCTTCCACACAACGAAGGTGACCAGCTCAGAGCCCCAACTGACGACTTCATCAGTAGAAGAGTCGTCAACCAGCTGATATGTCTTCGTGAGGAATGGCGGTGGAACCGGCCGGTGGCAGTCATGGAGAGAGGATGATCGAGTTCCTTGCTGGACCATTTTTTCCAACGTGTTCCTTCACAACTCACACCCTGCGACACACATATGCCGTGCGTCTGAGGAGATGATCCACAAACATTCTGGAAAGGGCGAACACGATTGGAAACTGAAACTCGCTCACTGACGTCGTTTCGTCTTAGGGTAATCGCGAGTACCTCGAACAGTTTTGGACGTCAGCAACATTGAGTGAAGAGCTGCTGTACAAAACTGAGTCAATGGAAACGCTGTGAGGAAAAATGGTGGTTCAGAGCTCCAACAAAACGTGTGAGGCTGTGGATCTTGCCTCCCTCAAGGCTATCACTCACCCCGTCGTTGCGACCCTCGCAAACACGAGGGTTCACTGGTGTTTCCACCTGCGCGCCACCGAAGCCGAGCCTGATCGAGGTAGGACATCCGCGTCACCACCTCGTCACTCAATGCCACCATCAACCAAGATACTGGCTGGGCCCCTGGTTGAGGCTGTGGAAATGGTCGAGGAGGAACGAAACGTCAAATAAAATGTTCGCACGTAGCCATCCATCATCCGCTTACCACTCGCAAACCTTCAGTGTACACCTCACCAGATATTTCCGAAGGTAAATTGCCAGCGTGGTCTGGTTGGGAAAGGCCTGGCGCGGATCTGGGCGAATCTCGCTGTGAGCTTTTCCCAGATACAGTACACTTGGTCCTCCATTACGGTCACCCCAGGATTACAACTAGTCGGGCTATTTCTCTGGGATAAAGCACACGAGAACACTTATTGCGCTCTACACAAGCATACATGCTAAATCACAGAATTAAACTTGCTCCCACCACCCATCATGAAACTGGTGCAAAGCAAGCACACGAACTCACATTGTCCTACCCTATTGCCCTATCCAGTGACTAAAGATTCACATAGCTTATACTGCCAACATACCGTATGTTGAAAGCACATGGTCCTGCTACAACTGTGGATTGTGTTTTGGTCCTGGTCTATCATAGCCCTACACTTGCAACACATAAGGTTAGGTACAAGATTTGAGAGAAACCAGCACTACAAAAGCAGAAGTGAGACAAGGAGAGGAAGCAGCGAACTGTATGAGCAGCGCACATCAAGTGTTCTGTGGTCAAAATTGCTTCCACAGTCGAAAAAAGGCACAATGGGGCACTATGCCTTGCACCTCAGCATGCTCACGTACATGAGGATCTGACTGTGTAGTTTTTGAGGACGTCGAGTTGCCAGTGCTGATGCGGTCTGGCTTTGTCGCCCATGGTACACCCAATGGCACTACTAGTAGGGCACACTTGCTGTCACTCGCAGGCGCTATCGCGCGGCTCCTTGCTTCGCAAGTTGATTTTGATCCGCTTTCCCTTCTCTGCCACACCCTCCTCCACACTTCGCTTCTTGCGATATGCAGAAAATGCAACAGGCCGTGACTGCATATCAACCGCGTGTGATTGAGCCAGTGCAGACGACTGACTGGGTCCGGCTTCTGTTAAGCTGTCTTCAACTCCCCTTGCCAACCCTCCAGTGTGCTGCTTCTCCTTTTCTGCCAGCAGTCCTATCTCCACTGCAGCACTGCCCACCATACCATCCCCTGCTGGGGAACGTGGGCTGTCAACACTGCTTGAAGTCGGTGGGGGGCGGATGGGCATGGGAGGGCAGGAATGAGCCATCTGCACCCAGGTAGGCTTGGATGGATGAGAGGCAGAGGAAGTGATCCAGTATGTGCCTCCTGCGTCTGACTGCTGCTCCCTCACTTGCCTGCTATGCCTCGTTTGCAGTTGGTCCTGACTACATCCGTCCTTGCCATCATTCTCAACCACTCTGGATGCCCCTTCAGACTCCCCATGCGACTCCTGCTTCTTCACGATGCCTGGGTGTGGAAGAAAGAGGGGAAGAGGCAGTATCAACCATGCGATCACCAGAAAAACGAACCTTAAAACTGGAATTTCCGAGTTTCCTCAGATTGCCCTATCCTTCCTACCTTTGGTTGGGTGTAATTCAATAGAGTACAAACAACTTCACAAATCATCGGTAAGATTTTAGCGACCTGAGATCACTGTATTATCGACGACAACTGCAGTGACGAGTTCGCACAATAACTTCCCCCGTATCCGAAATTCCCAGCGAAGGGGTTTATGAGTTGCATTTCAGATTTGGTAACTCTCGCTATATATTCTCACTCCGCGACCCACGTCTAGCTATTTCGACACCACCCTGGTTCGCGAGCCAGTTCTGGCCTTTTCTCCAACCATCCTTCCTACCTTTGAGACCTATGGACCCTTTAAATTGTTGGTAAAAACCCCTGACGTACCTGAGAGGAAGGAGAGGATGTGCATGTCTGCTGCAGCGTGCAGGGCCGTCTGGCCGCGGTTATTGGTGATGTTTAGTGCGCAACCTGGCGGCACAACAGACAAACCGAAAGGGTGCATTCAGTTCTGTTGCACGTGCGCCATGCTAATACAGGTGGGAAATTTGCTACCAGTGATACGGAACGCAGTGCAGCAGAGCACGTACCAGCGGCGACAAGCAGCTCAACCACCAGGCTTCTGCCTGCCTTCGCTGCCCAGTGAAGGGGCGTGTCACCGGACTGCAATAAACAGAGCGGTTCGAGCTAGCGGGGACGTCAGAATGTGAGTCGTATTGAGAACATGGGATGGGGGGGAAGGGTGGTGGGAAGGGAACATTTACAGTGGCGGCATTTCGTGGTCTCACATGCGTTTGGATGTTGATGTCGCCGCCATGCTTCAGCAGCAGCTCAGCTGTGCGCACCCACCCGCGATCCGCACACCAATGCAATGGCGACCTGGGGGGTTTACACGAAAAGTCGGTCGGAGCCAAACAGCACCAATGGGATCCAGTTTGCAAATGCAAGGGCCTCCTCGCTACGACGTACCCTACACGAACAAATGATAGTGGCTCGCCCGACTTTAAATCTGCCTGAATCAGAAAATTTATGTCGCAGTACGTAGAGTAATTGTTCAACAGGACGGTAGTCTAGCTTCAGAACCGATGGGCGGAGGATGAGCGGAATTTATCTGTTAGTACTAGTGCAAGCATGGGGACACGCGGCGAATCCGCGGCGATTTTAAAGCTCGTTTTATTTCTTAGGAAATCAAGGAGAGGGACGATGTGCTAGTCCCAATTCCGCTCGCATTATCAGCGGCCGAGCACGGCACGGGCGGCTAGATGAGGCAACGAGCCAATGCTAGGAAACCTCAGGTTTGACTAATCCGGATCGTCGGCGACTCGATGTGACGGCGATCACCTGCCCAGGTGGTCCTTGCGGTTCGCGTCAGCGCCCGCCTCCAGCAGCAGCGCCGCCGCGTCGCTGCTCCCCGACTCCATGCACACCAGGCACAGCGCCGACCGCCCAAACCCCTCGGGCAGGTCCGGATCCGCACCCGCCGCGAGGAGCGCGCGGATGTGCGCAATGTCAGCGGGGTGAAGGGGCTTCCGCCGGCACACGAGATGCAACGGCGCGCGGCCTGGGCCGTCGCGCGCGTTCGGATCGTTTCCTGGCTGCCATAGCGGAGGCGTTGCCGAGGGAATCATCGGCGCACTGTGACACTGTCGGGTGGCATGGTGCTGAAGAGCGGACTCAACGGACGCAGCTGCAGCGCGGAGGAGTTTATGCAACGGAGAGTGAACGGGGTATTATTGGGATCCGTCATGGTGCGTGGTAGGTGTGGTGGACCAAAAGTCTGAATGTTATTTTCGCTGTGGCGCGACACGAGAAACGGCGATCAGGAAAGGAGGAAGGGAAGCGATGATCTTCAAGATCACGACATTCCTTCCCGTCGGCGCCGCCAATTCACGTACTCACTGACAAGTGACCATCGGCGTCTTTGGTACCTCGTACCTCTCTGGTCTGGATGAGTGGTATGATGTCGAATGGTTTAGTTCTGTTGGAACTGGGCAGATTTGTTATTCTGCAAGAATACTGTACTAACAAATCAATTGAATAATTAAAACGCCGTTCTGGTGCAATACAGTTTATAATAGTATAAGGCATGCAGTCAAAGTGAAACACCTTGACGGGTCACGGAATCCTTGGGACCGAACCGAGCTGAAGCAATCCATGCTGTCACGTAGCGTGACGAGGAAAGCGCCGCAACCAGCGCAGCATAGGAGGACCTATAGTTACGACCACAAAACATCAGCATGGCGTCACCAAGAGTGGCGGGCGGGGGTGATGAGGGGCACGGATGGTGGTGGCAGGCAAGGCAAGGTCACGGGTGGCCTCCATAGAGAGATGAAGCGCCATGAATCACGGCAGGTGGGCCACTGATCCCAAAATTTTTGTGGGTTTCCTGATTGCGTACTGTAGCCATGTTAGAATAACAGTTTTGTCACGCATGGTTCACTCCATCATTCCACGAGAAAGAAGAATGTGGAGAAAATGCCAGCCATTGCATTGCACGGAAGGCAGTTACAGTACTGTGTGTCTCGATGCTACTGTACATGAGTTTCTGTGGAATGCAGCATTGTCTTCCATCGTGGCGTGAATCAACAGTACCACCTTTCATTTCACGCTTCACGTGTCTTTTTGAACGCGCAAAAGCCAGACTATCCAACCCTGAGTTCCACTTTTGCCCACCTCATGTCACGAATGGACACGATGTGATGCGGTCGGGTTTCTGACACGGCGTCCTCCCTGACAATCACAGTTCCCATTTGAAGTGGATTTTGGCGGTTTCGTCGCTTCTGCCACATACCCAAAAATCACGTGACGTGCAGGTGCGCTGCTGCAACTTGGAGTGCAGCGTGGCTGATTGTGCCCCTCTTTCAATCCTTGATATAACGTATCCTCTTGTCAGACTCACGTCCTGCCATATGTTTCCAGCGTGTGAATAATTTTATAAATGGTGTTGAA